GACGCTGCTTGCAGGAGCCATGTGGGTGCTTCCTTTAAGGGTTCCTGTCTTTTTCTTAGCTGGTTCCCACAAGGGGTTACTATAAGGTTCCTGTAAATTTTCCTACACAAGCGACGGTTCCTACGGGTTCCTTTAAGGGAATTTTCGGCTTCCCATGGGAGTTCTTGGTAGTTAGGCAGAGCCCGGCTGGGGTGCCCCCCATTTCAAGGATATTAGCTATACCCATAGACCCCTAAGTAGNNNATATTTAGAATCCCATAAGGTAAACCCCAAAAGGAACTACTTAGGGGTCTATGGGTGCGCTGTGTTCATGTTGGGATCTCCTATTTTCTAAAGCTCTCCTATAGCTTCCGGTATCCCTTCTGCGCAAGACCGCACCATGGAGGGTGGAAGGCTGTAGGAAAAAGCAAGGTATCATGATCTACATACAACCACAGCAAAGCTGGAACACGTAGCTACGTCCGAACTCCAAACCCTCTGTATAGGGCTATGCATATAGAGTGCACAGCTCCGCACCTCCAGGGTGTCACCTTCAGCCGTAAGCCCTAAGCCCCAATTCCAAAACCAGCAAATCCCAAGGCCTAAGCCCCAATTCAAACCCAAAAGCCCGAAACCAACCGTTCTCCGAAACCTGAAAATCTCAGCTTCTCAACCCGAAACCCCTGACACCCTAAACCCCACACCACAAACCTGAAATTTAAGCCTTCTTGGAGCCCATAACAGTAGAAGCCGGAAAGTTGAAAGCTAATTATCCTCGTGCTCTCAAGGTAAAGCATAGGGGATCCCAGCGCCACTCATCCCTAATCTATGTTCCAACTTTCTGGAGAAGCCCAAAACCCTAAACCCTAAACCTCTAGCCATTTTGGCTCAAGGCCGAGGGTTGCTGTTGGTTTGCCCTTCAGGGAGTGGGTTTGCTGTTGGCGAGTGTGAGGGGCACGAGCGCCTGTGAGTCCGGCGGTGCGATCCAGACCGTTGTCTTCGAGCTCGGCGGGACGTGCGGGCCCCGAGGATCCTCGATAGTGCGATTCTGCTCAAGTTCTTCGGAGGGAAGGGGTTGCGGCCTTTCTTCAGCATTCTTTCGGGGATGAGCGACAGGATCGTCCTCGGGGGGGACAAAGGGGGCGCCGGGGATGCAAGAATGAAGGCCGTTCCCGATGATGAACTGGATGGGTCAGATTTGGAGCCGAGCGGGCCGTCTTCGCCGAAGCGGGGTAAGGACCAAAGAACGGAGAGGGCTTCGAAGCGACGCGGGGGCGAAGGGGCAGATGTGGTTCCTGCTCTTGACCTTGTTCAGATGGAGCGGCTTTTGGAGGCTCACTCTTCGCGGATTCTCAAGGCTCAGAAGGATAATCTGGAAGGAATGATGAGTATCTTCGAACAACAGACTGCAGAGAAGCTCTCCCACATTGAGGCCAAGGCTGAAAGAGCGGATCAGAGATCGCAGAATGTTGAGGCCAAACTGGAACAGATGCAGAATCAGCTCCACGACCTGCTCAAGACCAAGCCTGCTCCACAGCCAGAACCGGACCGACGCTATACGCTAGTATTCGGCGGCTGGCCGCGAGATACTCGCCGCCAAGTGATACTCCAACAGCTTAAGGAAGGACTCGAGCGCCTCGACCTAGTGCAGCACATGGACAGCGAGGCCTTTTGCACTGGCCCCAGACGCAGCACAGCGCTAGCTGTGTTCTACCCCAGGGAACAAGAAAGCGAGTACATGGTGAGACGCAGAATGCACCAGGTGATCATGGGGCTGGCAAAGACCCACGTTGCTATACCAGAGGGCCGGCGACTTTTCGCCACATATTCCAAGTCCAGGGCGGAACGTGCTGTAGCTGGCCATGCAGGATGGCTGAAGCGCACCTTGACAGCAATGGGGGCAGAATACGCAGCGCTGCTGGATTTGGAGTACGCTACTGGGACCTGCTGGGTGGGCTCCTCTATCGTCGCCTCGGCGACAAGGCCTTCTGAGCCAGGGGTTGATGAACGCCACCTCTTGAGGGACGAAGTCGAGGGTAACAAGGTGTGGGTCAACGTGGTGGCACTGGCAAGCGAACTGGGGCGGCCCCAGCGAGAGATCGCCAGGTTGCTGGAGGAGCACAAGCGCTGACCTGAAGAGCTCACCTCAGGTGATGAACATGAGTTCAGCTGCAGGCCTAGACCCAACTGGGAATTAGAAATACGCTCTTGGAATCTTGGTGGCTCGGACGAATATGCTGCGCCTCAAGCACTCCGGGATTTGGGCATGCTCGATAGTGACCATGTCATCTACCTTCTCCAGGAGATGTCTCGCCGCGAAGCGGGGTGGCAAACGGACCAGAAGGACGGTTGGGTTTCCTTGAGTCATCGTCACGAAGATCGCTGGCGAGGGGCTGGCATTCTCTACCGGGAAAAAAGTTGGCGAGTGGTGCGCAGACTTGCGACAGACCGAGGGTGTTGGTTTCGAATGCGACATGTTGTGTTTGCTAACGAGGTGTGGGTGGGAACGGCCCACATCGATCCAGGCTGTGCGCAGCAGGTACATCGAGAGGCAGTGGGTGAACACCTATCACGACTGCGAGCCACAACCCTACCCATTGTCCTTGCATGCGATATCAACTCGCCCATCAGGTGGGAAAATGATGACGACGGAGTACCCCAACCGATAGGCAGGGATGGTAAGACAGTGGGCTTCTTGGATGCTATCGCGGGCCGAGGGTTACAATTGGTCACCCCCAGTCCAGACTCGCTACATCGACCGTCGAGTAGACCTAGACAAGAAGGGCGAATGGGGAAGCAGATTGATTGTGTATGTCACAAGGGCTTGTCGATACCGAGGGTCGAGATCTGTGTGGACACCTACAGGTGCCTCGGGACGGACCACGAGCTCCTCAGGGCTTTTGCAGGGTTCAAGGGAGAGCAGCGACATGTACGGCATAGCACCAGACCAAGGGAATGGATTGGAGGGCCCGAGGTGATCAACAAAATCGACCACGATATCCTCAAAACTATGGCCAAGCAGTGCACCAAACCGAAACCGGGCAAGGGCTACAGGGATAGTCAAGAAGTCAAGGAAGCGATACAGAAGGCTCGAAGCGACCCGAGTGCAGACAACTGGAAAGCAGTTCAGAACCTCAGGAAGAAGTCCAGGCGCCAGTGGGAAACAGAGAGGATCAGGGAAGCTACACAGGGGGACTGGGAACAGGTCAGGAAGTTGAGGGCCAAGAAGAATGTGGGATGGGATTGCCATTACGCAGAGCAGCAGGACGAGGGTGAAGCTCACAACAGTGTACACAAACATCTGAAGAACATCTACGAAACTGGGGATACCCTCCCGGAACTCCCTCCGTGGCAAGGTGAAGTTGAGGCTTTTACCCTGGACGAGTTGGACATGGCTTTACAAGCAGGACACCGAGGCAAAGCAGTCGGCCTAGATCAAACAAGCCAGGAATTGCTCCAGGGTATCTGTGCCACACCTGGGGGACGGGAACAACTCCTTGAGTACTTCAACCAGGTCTTGTGTACAGCAGAGATCCCCTCCGATTGGAATAAAGTCCTCATGCTGGAAAATCCCTAAGGTGGCTTTTCCCTCTCACCCAGGAGACCTACGACCTCTTGCTATGGGGAGCGCCACAGCTAAGTTGTTCGCCAGACTCCTCCTACAGCGTTCAGAACCCAAAATCGGAGTCCAGGGACCTGAACAGTGCTGCGGTAAAGGACGCCAGTGCTGCGATTTCCTCTTTGTTGTCTCACGGTTGATGCAGCTCGAACAGGAATGGCGGCGCGGCACCTGCTGGCTGAAGGTGGATCTGGCAAAGGCCTTCGACAGGGTAGATAGAAGGGTCTTAACCGCCAGACTACTTGAACGCTTGGGGATGGGACCGGAATATCGCTGCTGGTACAACCTTCTCAGGCAGAATGATGCGGTACTGCAAACCAGCTGGGACACTAGTGTCCTGCACATGCACGGGGGTATAAAGCAAGGGGCTATCGAGTCCCCAGCCTTCTTCAGTTTCCTGGCAGAGACGTGCCTCCATGAGGCAGCGAGCAGATACAAGTGGAAGGATTCCGAGGACACCTATGAGGGTCTGGCATTAAATGACCTGCTGTACATGGATGATGGCCTACAGTGGAGCCGAGGGGTTGCGGGGATCGAGAAGCGAATTGCACAGTGGGGTGTAGTACTACAAGAATATGGGTTGCAGATCAATGCCAAGAAGTGCCAACTGTATTGTTCCCCGCACCACACAGGGGAGAGGACGATTAAAATCCAGGGCGAATTGATCCAGGCATCGAACGAGCTACATATTCTTGGGGTCACTTTCAGGGTCGGCATCACCTCCTCTGAGCTCCTCGCCCCCCTCATGGCCAAACCCCGAGCCAAATTCTGGGGAGGGTTGCAGCACCTGCTGAGAGCGAAGACACCGTTAGCAGGGCGAGTACGTCTAATGGAACGCATCCTTGGAGGAACTGTTCTATGGCCCCTCGCCGCACTACCCATGGACTCATCCAGCCTGGGGCTTATTAACAGCCTCCAGCAGCAGCTGTGCATTTGGATGATGCGAGTCTCAAAACGACATGACGAAACCTGGGTGCAGTATTGGGAAAGGGCGCATCGTGGGGCAAGAGCAGTCGTGCATAAGTTCTCAGGCAAGCGATGGTCCACGGTCTGGTTGGAACGATGGTGGCAGTTCGCTGGTCATCGGACCAGAATCAACATGTACGAAACACAGAATGCCGCAACCATCATCGATGAGTATCGTACCCGAACCTGGTGGCGAGAGCAACAATCCAGACCCACCACAGGAATTAGACACCCGGGACATTACTATCCCAAGCTCATGAACATGGAAAGGGATATGGACCGAGCAGCGGGAGGCCCTTGGCGCGAACAAACATACAACAGGCAGGGTTGGAATTCAAAGCTTGGGGCGTGGCTGGCACAGAAAGACCTCCCCTGGGCAAGCATGCGACAACCCAGCCTCGAACACGCATAGCACAACAAGCACTAGCAGGGGGCGAAACACGCGCCCCCCTTAGCATCGGTATGGACTCATGTGCATGTCATGCTCTGCTTAGTGGCATGTGAGGTCTACTTGAGTGCAGTTGGCAGTGGATGAAGATTGATAGTCTGAGGGCTTGCCAGCAGCACTGTGGTTCGAACACACTATAACCCACAGAGCAGCAATGTGGCAATCTTTGCCGGTTTCCATACGAGTCTTGGTGCTCTCGGCACCGACCTACATATTGGGGGGAGATCCTCAAGGGATGTGCCCACCCGCAAATTCGCAAGCAAAGTATGGCGCTTACGCCACAGAGCCGATGCCCTACCACACGAACATGACGAACATCCCTGCACTACTACATGATGACGACCAGCGGGGAACTGCAGGGAAAGAACAGAATGAAGATGAAGAACCCTTGCCCGTGCCAGAAGCCACGGACGACCCCTACCAGACCAGCGAGCTCTACTACACCCTCTTTGTTCAGGACAACCTGGAGGTGAACAATGCATGGATCGCGTATCTGGACATGGCCCGCTCGCGCTTCGAGGCGATGACCAAGGAAGAGAGGGCACAGGCGGCGGGCACCCTGCTCAGGTACACCCACTGGCACGCTACGAACAGCCGTGATGGCTACCTCCTCGGCCACATGGGCGGAATTGTCTCCGACTACACGGCCTTTCTGGTGGCAGTGATGGATGAGGAAGACTACCAGGAAGAGGCGCCCACACCCACGATTACGGAGGGGCTTTGGGCAGAAGCGGAGCGCTTCATGCCGATGAACCCGGGATCCAGGCGAGCAGCTGGAAAGAGGGTTGAGCCTAACTTCCCCAACATCATGCTGTTCCCCAAGCCGATTCCCTCGGACCTCCTCACTACAGGCTCGCAGGAAGAACTCCGTTCAGATGTCGACACCCAGCTGCATACCCCGTGCAAGAGACACTACCTGCAGGTGGAGATCAGCTCGGGGGGCAATAGCAGCTCCTCGCAGAGCTTCAGGTTCCCACTGGGAGATCAACCAGTAAGCCTCCGCCTTCAGGTGCAGACCATGGCAGACACGGGTGCAGCCAATGCCACCAAAACTCCGGGGTGCGAGCAAACCGAACTCCGACTACCTGAAGCTGCCCCCTCCCCCTTCGACCAGGCGGGCATGTCTATGTCTGATTATCTGCGGGCCCACGAAGCATGGAAGCGGGGTGATACGACGACCAGGGACATTGCTATATGCTATGGGGAAGAAACAGCAAAGCAGATGGTTGCTAGTTGGGAGATGAGCAGGCTGAGCGCAGCAGAACCCGACCGCCAGCAGGACCAGGAGGCGACCGCCAACGAGACGAACCAGGGAGAGGCGAAGGATCAGGACGAAGCCGTCCTCCTGAGCACGTACCACCTGGGGATCGGGGCTATCCTCGTAGGGCGACAGGCTGCTAGCATGGACGTGAACCCGGAGGTGGCATCCATCCTGAGGGAACACTTGCGCCGCATTCGAGGCGAAGGGATGACACCCACGGAACAGGCAAGCACGCTATACTACTTGATCGAGCAGAGAGAGGTCCCGGAATACATACATGAGTTCCCGGACTTGATGCAGAGCCTTGACCTCGATGTGGACGTGAACCTTGACGCTCGCTGCATGCCAGGACCCACCCCGGTTATGAGATGGGTGGAAAACGAGCTCTGGGAGATCTTCCTGGACTGGTATGAAGGGGTCATTGGCTTCGAGTCTGAAGCCCTCCAGAACATGAGAGGCTCTCCGACACTACCGGCGAGCGAAATGGAAGAATGGCGGGTCTGGTCTGGGATGATTCCAAGGAGACAGCAGCGATCGAGGAGCAGAACACCGCAGAGGAACGGCAGGGCTTCGAGGCAGCAGACTGAGGAAGGGGTTGGGACAATAGGGAGGACTCCAGACATCGCGAGGGGACCAGACGAAGGCGCACACCAACACGAGGTGAGCGTGGCCGAGATCGCTCAAGGGACGGGCGTGGAGGCAGAAGAGTTCCAACCACACGCGAAGAAAGAGTACGTTCGAGAGTGACCCACGAGGTGCGCCAGCTGGTGCCGCGGCACTGCCCGGAAACCGAGCCATGGGAACCGAGCACACCCGGTGCCTCGGCTTCTACGGAGCCGCCACGAGGAGGAGGGAGTCGACGAGAACCCGACATGGACATCATCCAGGCAACAGGGCGATGGTTCAAGTATTTTGGGCTGCGACAGAGAGGGCAAGAAAACCACCAGCCCGCTAACGCCATGACCCGAGAACTACAGCACGAATTACAGGAGGAGCTTCGAAGCCTCAGTGAATGGAACCTGGGAATGATGAACAGAGCACTCCTCAGATTAATGGGGATGCTGTTCATCGAATCGGCCAGGGTCATGATCCAGGTCCAAGAACTCCGACTTCGAGCACAAGGCACGGAACTGGTGGAAGTGGAAATCGAGGAGGGCGATGACGAGAGCCTCTACATGCAACTGTCGGCGAAGGCTAGCACGAGGACTTGGCCGGACCTCCTCTCCCAGCTGGTCCAAACTGCGGGGGACGGAAACCCGGGCCGCCGCTGTCTCATGGAGGGACTCAGGCGAAGGATTGCACAGAACCTCTACTTGGAGAGTGACAAAGGGGCCCAGCTACATGCCACATTGGTTTCTATCGCCACGGACCTCCAGGACGAGAATCCCGTCTCCTGTGATACAGCTGACAACGACCAGGTGAATGTAGAAAAGTGGTGGGAAGAACTAAAGAAACACATGACACTTGGAGACGTTGGCACTTGCTCGGCGGGCAGTGGGGACCTCATGGTGCCTGCAGGGACTACGAGAGGGACGGATGGGCACTCGTGTCGGCAGGTGCAAGCTTGGGAAGCCGAGAGACAGAAGGAGGCCGTAATCAACCTGGAACCAGAGGCCGAGCTGGTGAAGCGCGAGGAAGAGGAGGAGCGCCAGAACCTGCACGACTTGGAACTCTTCCTCAGTCACGAAGCTGGAGTCTACCAGAATTGGGAGGATTGGGTCCTCCTCAATACTCCCAATCGAGCTAAACGGCGAAGGCTTTTGGTCTCGGTGCAGCAGCCAGGGGTGGAGGCGGATCGCTCAGTGGGACCACCGGAAGCAATCTTGCCCCTGCCAGCTGGTACCATGCAATTCGAGGTCAACCTGAAGGTCCAACACACAGACGAGCCAGTCGCACCACCGACGTCTACTGCTGCACGAGGAGTACAGGAAGGGGCGACGGGAACCCCCCTTGACATCAACAGCGAAGTCTACAACAGGGCATACGAGACTTGGAAGGATGGGCTCATTGACGATGGAGCGGTGGAAAGGATCTTTGGAGCGGATTGGCTCTTCTTGTTCCAAGTGACCCATGCTGGAGTGGAGGATGGCACGCTCGCTCCCCTCGCCTTCCCGCCGCAGACGACGATCGACAACCAGGCGGAGGCTCCTGTGGTGACCCCGGTGATCGCGGCTACAACACAGCGAGACGACACTGAGCGTGACAGTACCGGACCTGCTGGAATGTGGCCTGGGCAGCTCCGAGGGGGAGCTGGCGAATGCTTGGATTTGGATGACTCGGCGGACAGAGGGGACGAAGATGCAGGGCAAGCCGTGGGGATCCTACCGAGTGAACCGGAAGATGTGGTTGCAGGGTCGGGGTCAGACGCCGAGGGAGTTCGTGACAAGAATGACAGGGAAAGGGTGGAAGAGGGCAGGGAAGATGCTGCGTGAAGATCGTCATGTTCGCATCGTCGAGGGTGGCTCCTGAGTGTGCACTTAGAGGGGTGAACCCAAGCCTGCCCAAAGGGGCTTCGACGCGCAAGCAACGAAAAGGGCCCTTAAAAAAAAAACCCTAAACCTCTAAAACCCTAAACCCTCAACCCGAAACCCTATAGATCCCCTTATAAAGAACCCTGGAAACCCCAACCCAAAAAGCCCCAAAGGAGCGGAGGCGCCGGTGGTTAAGCGCTACCAGGTCAGCGCTTCCAGGGACTCTATGACGGCGTTTTGGGTTTTCGGGTTTAGGGGCTTAGGGTTAGGTTTAGGGTTTAGGGTTTTTGCCCTGCCATGTGTTGCGCTTCATGGTTTTAAATGGGGGTGGTAGGAGTTCGATAGCGAGAGTTGGTTGGACATTGTTTTGCAACGTTCTACAGAATTTTGGTTTTAGGCGGCGTTCTACTAGAAGTTACTTGGAAGGGTCACGGGTGCTTAAGAACGGTTTAGGGTTTAGGGCCTTCTAGCCGCAAGGAGGGTTCTCATGACTCCACTCCGTAGCCAGCCATGAGCCTTGAAGCCTGGCTTGCGGACCTCGTCAGAATACGGAACCCATTCGTGTTGTTTGAGGGTTTGTTGTTGAGTTCTGAGACGTTTCGAGTTGAGTATTCACCTTAACCCCTGCACTCGAACTTCAAAGGACCTCAAAGGAGGCCATGCAGGGCCTACAGGTCAGAAGAGGGGCAAACGCGTGTCTTGCTTTGCTGGGATGGCGAATATACCTGTACCGCTGAACTTCCCGGCGCAACGCACATGGATAGGTCCCCAAATTACTTTTGCATTTGGGACTCGTTCCACAACCTTCAGATGCTTCAGAACAGAGCATAGTTCCGAAGCTCGAGTCAGCAGGACCGTGCGTGACCAAGAGCAGTGCATACTCTAGCTAACTAAAGCTGCAGTTCTGCGTCGCGTCAAGCGCGGTGCATACGACCCTACTTCTATCTCCCCATGAACCGAACCAATGGAGACTATGGGTAAACCCTCCTTTCGCTTTCCAGGCGCTGTTCTTCGTCCGACAGGTTGCGAAGGCCGAGGAAGGCGCGGAGGTCCTCAGTGACCCGGCCGAGTTTTGACGGAAGAAGGGCTTCGATGTAGGGTTCTTTAGACTTAGAATAGGGTATTCATTATACTTCTATGAAGGAACCCTAGCAAGAGTGTTGGTAATCAATTTTAGGCCCCTAGATGAGGGGCTTGGGATTATCGAGCTCTTGACCTCGGGTTCAGGGCTC